TATGCAAATATCAAATAAATATCGATGATGATAAATTTCTTCAGGTGTTCCATAAATCGATAATTATTATGCAATTCAAGAACTATAAGTACTCATTACATAAATTTAAATAGTTATCGATTAAAATCGAATGTTGTCGATAATCAAACTAAAATCTGTTTTGGTTAGTTGATTATAAACTCTCTTTTTTAATTTTTGTATTCGCATTTCGTTGGTTTTTGCCCACTGTACGAGCTGCCAATTGTTGAAAGCTTTCGCTACGTTCGTTCGGGCGCCTCATCAGTTGAAGCGCGATTAAAATTACGATTTAATTTTATTAAATCATCAAAGCGGCATTTATGCAATGCCATTCGACGTATTCGACGTGCCAGCGTGAGGCATAGCTGCATAACTAACCCACCCAAGTGTGGCACTGCCAAAAACAAATGGGAAAGGGTGGTGCCGCCTCAACTCGATCCGCTCGCAGTTAGTTTCAATTTTCATGTAAACCAAGTCTGATAGATATAAATGTATTTCCATAGATATGTATATTAGATCAACTTGGTCAACTGCCAATTAGCAACCTTGTGACATAGCGACGGTCAAAGCAAGCCAGTCGGAGTGGTGCGTATGCTCTAAGGTCGCACCACTCACATGTGTGTGTGCGTGGTGGAAAACTGGATCTGATTCTGCCTAGAAATAGGCATTAGCAGTTCGCATTGACAGTGGCTCGCATTAAAAAGAAATGTGAAGGTATTCAATATATGTTCAATTGCACAGCTCATTAATATGTGTAAATGAACTAGTTCAGTGAGAGCCAGATTTTGCTCATTAACTATAATCTATCTATACTCCACAGTCTCTCAGATTATACGCATATATAATATACTTTCATAAGATATTCTGATTTCCATTACATTTAAAATAATAGTAGAAAAGACATATGCTAGTTCCAGCTGATCCACTAAGATGTATTTATATCCCTTTGCTGCTTGATCCCATCTCCATATTTCTTCATAAATCCCATCGATCATATAAATTGCTTCTCATTTTTATTGCATTTTTTCTCATTTCGCGACTTTTACAGCATGTTTAAGCTCAAGTTAAATAAGAAGTGGTTAGATATATATTACATATTAAATATATATGTATTTTTTCTTTTTATCGAATATATTATTTCATTTTTATCGCGGTCGAAACAGCCTTAAGATTAAGTAGACAAGAAACGTACATGGGAAAGGCGTCGAATGTGAGTGTAGATGAGAGCGATTGGAGCTGAAGTGGCTAATCAAGACCAATCGAGTGAATTCGTATGTACACAAGTGCAGCGATATATATCGCTAACATTTTAACTAAATACTACAACTATCGACTACGATAGGTTTACAACTTCTCCGAGCTGAAGGAGTTTCGCGGGTCAAGAGGTCGGCAACATGTATGATTCAGTATTCCGTTTGAGTGGAGCTTGACTTAGTGGTAGGCCAGGGGCGAGTAGGCGGGAGCCAGAGCCGGGCGGTAAGCCGGAGCCAAAGCTGGACCATAGGCGGGACCCAAGGGAGCCAGTGCGGGCAGAGCTGGCAGCTTGGCCACCAACGGAGCGTGGAGCAGAGGAGCTGGCGCCAAGACCTTAGCAACTGGAGCCACAGCCTTGACGGCGACACCCTCGCGATGGACCACCGCATTGAAGCCATGGACTGGATCAGCGGTGTACTCCACAATTCGGCGCGTGCCGTCAGCCTCGATCAGCGAGTAGGAGCCCTGGACAACATCGCCGCTGCGCGTCTCCTGCTGGTTCTTCACGTCGCCAGTGGACGAATCCTGTAAGAGAGAATTGTGATGTGGATTAGCTCAAGTTGGCTTAGCTTGACTTGGATTCTGTTGATGATCGCCCACTCACATGCACATCGTAGCTGAAGCTGTACTGGGGATTGGGATCGTATGGCTCGGGTCCAGCCACCTTGGCCACGGCCACCTTGGCCAGTCCTGGATAGATGGGCGCCGCCAGCTTGGGGTAGACGGGCGCTGCCAGGCTAGGATAACCGGGCAGAGCGAGTCCAGGACCAGGCACCACCACAGCATTGGACACGGCCACCAAAGCGCTGACAACAACGAGCAACAATTTTTGTGCCATTTTTGTGGAAGATTTAGTGGAGTTTTCTGCTAGAGATTTGGCTGCTGCTTGGCTGACAAATGAACTCACTCTGTGGTTCTGATGCTGAGCGACAATTGCTTTTTATAGCCAAGCCAACAAATCGAGCGAACTGAAAATGCCCAAGCCCCAAAATCCGCAACCAAATCTCTAACGACGACGACGACGACGACGACGCTGCCTGCAAAAATATTTATGCAAAAGCAACAACAACAACAACAACAACAGCAGCAGCACCATCAACAAAAGCAACTAAAAAGCGCGCATGCGTGTGGAGTATATTGAAAATGCTTGCTAAGATCACAAAATGCAGCAGCGCAGCACCACCAACAACCACAACAAGAAGAAACAAACGTGAGTGCGCAGCGAGAGTGTGAACGACTTTCAAGTGCCCTCTGCAGATAGGAGATAACGTCGATTCCTTCTCCTAAACCTATTCCAAATAGTATTTCATAGAGCTCAGCTCTTTAAGTCCTTTAGATGTTTCGATACTTATCGATTTTCAAGATCAGCTTTATAGATATGTATACTCAGTTTTATAGGGGATATGGCTAAATCAAAGTGGATTTGTGCAGCTCAAGAAAACTGCTTCTGATCGAATCGATATTTATCGATTATAGATATAAGCTTGTTAAACTAGAAACTAAGTACTGCCTCTGATCACTGACTTAGTTGGATACTACATAAGTTTCTTCCAGTTCAGGTCAGCTTTAAAAACTGAACTACTGAAAATCGATATTTATCGATTATGGTTAGAAGCTCCGTAAACTGTAAAATATGCTGCTTCTCTTTAAGTCAGGCTTCTGTTACATACCACTACTTAGCCTAGCATAGCTCATATAAAAATTTGGTATAGTTACAGGGTATTATAAATGAAAATAATTCATTTTTCGTTGCGTCGCAATTGCCCCTGGCAATTGGCAGTCAACGCTAGGCAAGAGGGGAGGGCGTTAGCCAATTGTCTGTCTGGGTGTCGTGTCTGTCTGGCTGACTGGGGAGCGGGGCGGGGCAGGTGTGCTCTGGCCAGACAAAAAACAGCTTAGGCCTACGAGAATGGCACGCATGTTGTCTGGCTAGCTGGCTGGCTGGCTGGCTGGGTCGGCTCCTAGCGACGAGTGGTGGACACCGCCGAAATGAACGGCTACATGAGCTTGGAACAGCAGCAGCAGCAGCAGGAGCAGGAGGGGGGATTCGATCGTGACAAAAAAGTTCAATTCGAAAGCGTTTTTTTTTTCTTTTGGTCCGGGTGGCCAGGCGGCATCAGGTGTGCAAGTGTATGCGTGTGTGTGTGTGGCACTCACACATAGATCGTTCCACGCACCCAGTCGATTGTTGAAAGGTGTGTGCGTCGCCGTCGCTCTATGCGCGATCAGCCTTCGAAACTGGCACAAAGCAGCGACACGCCGCGCCCAGCAGCAACTGCAACTGCAACTGCAGCAGCGGTGGCAGCAGCAGTGGCAGCGACGGCAGCGGCAGCAAACTGTTCACCCCGCAGACTGGCCGACTCCGACACCGACAGCGACAGCGAATCCGAGTCCGAATCCGTAAGCCTCGACTCCCCAAATTGCAGCAGGCAATTGCCACTGCAACAATGTTTTTAATACCCTGTAGTCGAAACGAATGCGAGGCAGGAGCTATATTGCATATGATATAGCATATGCAACAGCTGCTTGATTAGATATATGGTTTTCTAATCTGAAGAAATCTATCCATGCTAGACAATACTCTGTGCTCAATTATCCATTGATCATGATCTCTTCAATTGTTCAGCTGTTTATGAAGTACAGAGCTCTACTACAATAGCAAACATGTTCATGAACTATTCAATTGAACTAGTGACACATTAACTATATAGTTCTCTAATCCTAAATAAACGATTTAACGTATTTCAATTCAACTCCCATTTCTAACTTCCATCTTCAAGGCCTATGTCGACATGTTTCCCTCATTATAGGGTATTCGGTAGTCGCACACCCGCACACACTATACGCTCACTCTTACTTGGCTTTTGCGCACATTTTACTGCCATTGGGACAATTTTGCCCATTATCACTAATTTTGAACGCACGTTGCGCCTTGTTAGGCGTCGCAGTTGCCAGCGGCGTCAACGTCGACGGCTGCGTTAGCGTCGCCGTCAACTGCGATGGCGATGGCGATGGCGACGTCGACGGCAACTGCGTGTGCGACTGCAGCGGAGACATGCGCAGTTTTTTGCGTAATCAAAAAATTGTAACGCGTCGAGTACTTTCAATTAAGCTATTGAATAATTCGAGTGCGTGTTGATCGAGTGAATGTTGGCCGTTTGCATGGGAGGGAGAGTGTTCTTTGCAGTGGGTGCGATGCGAGGGTGTTACGGAATCGGGTGGGGTCTATTAGAGTTATAGTCCAGTTTGTCTACTTAATCATATATGTAAGAGGCGAGGCATGGGACTCGCATGATGTGGGTGGGCGGTGTTACGGCATCGAGTGGTGCTACTCTAGGAGCAGCAAAATGGAAAATGGAAAATAGAGATCGAGAGAGGCTTGGCTATACCAAAAACTAAACCACATGGAAGATTAAAAATCCAACCGAAATGTAATTAGGAAGGGTAAACAAGTCAGCGACTCGATTCCTGCGTATCTCACGGCCCCAGTTGTATAGCAATGGATATCTTTAAAATATCTCATGCAAATTGACTCGAACTGGAGCCATTTGTCAGCGTTCGACCGATAGCTGGTAGTATCCACAGCCAGGTGTCCCAGCAATTAGCCACGTTGTTTGTTCTCTTTGGCTAACTGGATTTATTGGATGATTTATGAGTGTGCGGTTAGATCTACAGAACAGTAACAGACAATAACTTATCTACAAGCTAAAATCGGCAGCTGTTGCCTCTCAGCCCAGGAATGGGGCAGCGGGTACGACGGGGCGTGGTGCTGCTGCAACCACTGGCACTGGAACTGGGCCGCGCTGCACCACCGCATTGAAGCCGTTGATGGGATCGGCGGTGTAGAAAACGGTGCGCAGCGAGCCATCGGCATCGACTACCGAATAGGAGCCCTTGACCACGTCGCCGTCGCGCACCTCCTGTTGGCTCTTGCTGTCTCCCGTGATGGCATCCTGCACGTTGTAGGCGTAGGCGTACTGTGGATGAGGGTCGAAGTCTGTGTTGACGGGCACCGCCGGAACCAGGGCACAGTCGATGACAGCGAACAGAGCGCAGCTGATGATGAGAGTCTGCAAGGGAGCTTCACTTAGATTTCCTTCACTCTCGTTAGCTCCTTTACCAGACTTACCTTGAGTAGGGCCATGTCGTTGCTTGGGCTGTCTGATTGAACTGTGGGTAGTGAGTGGGGTTTGATTGCACTTTCTGTACTGTCTTCTGGTGGTGCGGTGTGCTTGGTTTTAAACACTTCGCCACCCGCCCTGGTGGTCAGGTGCGTTGTGGCAACCGCTGCCAAATGTGACCAGCCAATGGCCAACTCTGACGTAAGGTGCAATCCGTAGCGTAGTCAGTCATATTTCCTCAATGGACGTGCCATTTCATGTCATTTCCCCAGCCCATTTGCACAATCCCCAGCACCCAAGTCCGCAGCCCCCGCTATATGGCAATCATAACGTTAACGACGGCACGTGATGCGCATTAATAGCTTCCCATTTTCGGTGCGTCTTGAGGTAAAGGTCGAACCTACCTCAACATCAAAGAGATTTGTGAGTCAGCACTTGGCCTTCAAAACAACCGAATATTATATTGTAAAATATTAGGTTAGATATCAGATCAGCTTGGGTTTCCTGGATAGTTGAATCGATTTTCCTAGAAGTGGTAGACAGCTGTCCTTCCTTGCTTCTTGGTATCTAGGGATCCTCTCTTGTTCAACTCTAGTCATTGAAACCATATAGTCTTTTTTGTACCGAAACTTTTATTCAGTAGATGCAGTTAATAAATCACTAGATAAATGGCCGATAGCCGTTCCCCAAAATCCCCTAGAAACGGGTATCCCTAGAAGCTACATTTGTGTGTATCAAGAGATTGGCCGCAGGATGCGGAGTTGGCTTCAGTTGAGCATACAGCACGCACGTCATTTGGGTTTCGGATGGTTGGATGGATTGGGACGCAAAACTAGAACTATTCAACAACGGTCTGAGGTCGTCTACGGATCTCCGGGCTCTATGCCTATCTAGTAATGGGCACCATAGCCGGACGCAACGTACGTTGGTGCAGCATATCCAATCTTCGTGATGGCGGGCAGAGCAGGCACCGCCAGCTTCGCGATGGTTGGCACGGCGGCAACGGCCAATGCGGGCTTAGCTACCACGGCCACGCCCTTCTTCTCGACGATAGCATTGAAACCGTTAACTTTGTCAGCGGTGTAGGTCACCTTGCGAATGGTGCCATCGGGCTCGGCCAGGGAGTAGCTGCCGTGGACAACACCATTGACCAGGGTCTCCTCCTGCTGCTTGGAGTCGCCAGTCTTCTGGTCCGTGACTCCGTACGAGAAGCTATACTGAGGATTGGGATCGTAGGGCTCGGCGACTGCCACCTTGGACACAGCCAAGGCAGGTGCGGCCAGGAGCTTGGGCGCTGCGTAGGAGATAGCTGGAGCCGCTGCATATGAGATAGCTGGGGCCGCAAGGAGCTTGGGAGCTGCATACGAAATAGCTGAAGCCGAAATCAGCGACGGGCCGTAGGAGTCAATGGGTACGGCCACTGCCACAGCCAGCACCAGGCCAAGCACACAAAGAGTCTAGAAGAGGGAACACGGAGAGTAGTCCTTGGCAGGCCACGAGTCCTGGCACTTACCTGAGTGAACATGCTGTACGATATTTGTATTTCCTTCTATTGCTTTATTCGGTGTGAAGCGCGTCTGCACTGCAAGAACTCAGCTCGAGTGTGAGATGCATTTTCCTCGAGTTCTTCAGTCTTATATACAAGTCGCGCTTAACCATTTGTGGCAGGCAGCCGCAGCAGCACTCCTGCCTCCCCCTGGCCCCGCGATGGCTAACTAACTAATGGCTAGTGACAATTGCTCCGATTGACGTCTCTCGAGCTAGCACCCCGTCCTCATGCAGCGATGCACATACTCAAGCAGCTACTCAGTCTCGATATCCAACTCAAATCTCGATCTCGAATCTCATTTTCGTGCTCCTAGTCGCCAATTTCATGTTTGCTGCTGCACATTTCGTCATTTTCCAGCTGCTGCGGCTGCTTGTTTTTCTCAATGGAATAGCAGCAGCAGCAGCAGCCACAGCAGCAGCCAACCATAATGTGTGCCGCTCAAGAGCACCGCTCCAAATCCCAAACTCAACTCGTTTTCCGCTGCGCCCCCATCAACCGAAAAGTAAATAAAACCAGATCTCGGCCAATTCTCAGGTTCTGCGAACGTTTTGTCTGATGTAATAGCGCGATTCACTTGGCCAATTGCCAGTTGTCCAGTTGCCAGTTGCCAGTTGCCAGTTGCCCAGCGAAGCCAAATTGCAAATATTTAACGAGTCATTGAGCTGGCGACAGACTAAATGATACCCTGAACTAGAGCTGCCTTCTGGGAGTTAAATGGAAATGAGAGAAGAAGGAGAAATCAGGATACTCAAGTCGAAAGGGATGCGAATGGAATATCCTGAACTTAAGCGGTTTTCTATAAATAAGTGAGCATAATGAATAAGTGAAAGTGGAAAACCAAATCGAATACTATCCACAGTAAGGCCTACTTTTCATATATGTAGACAACTATGGAAAGATCGTTATCAAGAATATTTTTGTATCAGTTTTATAAAGGGAATACGTTCAGATACTTCATTTCTAACAAGTCTAGGGTATATATAAATAAAAACGAGACTGCAGCCATTCATAGCCCGCACTTTTTCAAGCTACCTCTCCCTGTCCCACTCTCTACAAGCACCACTCCCTCTTTCTCTTTCTCACTTTATAGCTGATCGTTCGACTCGTTTAATTAGAAATCTAAAATGGAAGCAATTGGTCAAAGGGGGCTGGCGAGCAGAGCGGGCGGGGCATGTGCGTGGCGTGCAGATCGAGCAATTACGCACAGTGGTGCAGACACGCTCAACACACACACACACACACACACACACACACACACACACACACACACACACACAAGCACACACACGAACACACGCACACTGTTGCGCCCACATTCGCTATTGCAGAAATGCAGTCCAAGCCAAGTGACCTTGCCCACAATATAGCCAGCAAATTGTTTTTTTCATTCGGCCACGTTTTCAGCTTAACTTAATTACGCACTGAGTAGAGCTGCCCTACCTCCCCAGCCCGCTAGAGGCCCCGCATCAGTCACCTAATATGCCAACATTCAGTTTGCTTTTAGGCAGGAAACTCTTGACGTCTAAACGACTTTCAATTAGCCAAATAAAAAATCCTTTTATAAGATTAACCAAAAATAAAACCAGACTTGAAAGGTGTTGAACATTCCAATGCAACAATTTCCGATTAAAACTTGTATTTTATACGCAACTATATACAACATTATGTGTAATAGAATATATATTGAAATTGTAACTTAATTGTATATACTGAATTTATACTTAAAATCTATATTGATAGGCAGAAAATGAGTAGAGATCTAAAAGAGATTTAAAATAAACATTATGGTATAGCCTAGTGTAAGGCCCTGCTTATTTTACTCCTATACTTAAAGCTTACTTGATAAAGTGTACTTCACTCTCTTTTCCTCACGCTATTTATATATCCTTTCTCTCTATCTCCCCCTCTTTGCCCACCTTTCCATCCTTTTCAAAAACTTGATTGCTTCCACCACATCTCTCTCTCTCTCTCTATTCGCTTTATATACATTCGCACTTTTACAGATCTCTCTTATTGGATATACATATATTTTTCTGATGCAATTTTTGTGCATTTATCGCAATTTATGTACTACAAATTTTGACAGGTAAAAGTCTGGCCAAGTTGTGGAGCACAGATCAGCGCAGCGAAGCCTTTTAAGGCAACTTGCGACTAGTTTAGAGTTTAGTTTAGCTTAGTTTTGTTTTTTGTTGTCAGTTTCCGGTGACAACCGTTAACTCGTTAACCGTTAACAGTTAACTCTGCCTTTTCAGTGTGACCAAGCGGCCGATCGAGCGCACCAAGTGCTGCCAAGTGCTGCCAAGTTTGCCAACGCGTCGCCATCACAAGGTCGTCTCTTAGCTTGGCAAACGAGTCACGCTTCACACACTTTGGAATTGGGTCGAATCTGCAGCGGTAGCCAATTGGAAGTGGGTTACAAGATCTACGGCGTAGTCTACGGGCTACTGTTAGCTATTTATTAGTTTTGTTACTTTTTTTTATGATTATTATCAACCAGTTTCGATCACGTAAGAGAAACTGTCTGCGGCGTACTCCATTAGCATTTCTAATTGAAACTTTCCAGTTGAGTGACTTGATTAGCAATCTTTGGTCAATAAACGATTATCGATTATCGATGATGGATTGTCGACTTTATGATTGGCCTAAGATTAGATGTAGCTTAATCTTAGCTTAACTCTCTGATGGGCATATCCATTATGGCTTTTCTAACTGAAAGTTTTGATTGGGCTGTATTTAAGCAATTAAGAAACAATCGTTAATCGTCTACCAACTATCGACTAATTCGATACGCATATTATTTGAGCAGTTTCTCAGCTAAAGTCAATTATTGATTGATTTTAAAACGCAACATTCCGGTACACGATCTATTTGGGCGATGCGTTGATTAAATTTTTGGGTGTAAAGGAAAATTAAAGTATTGCCATTGAATGGCAGCTGCATGACAATTACCAAAAAAAACAAAACAACAAACTTACTTTCGTAGCCATGGACTCGGATTCGGAGCAGGGTTCGAGCTGAAATTGAAAACTTGGACAGAAAAATTTGTGGGACGTGCCACGAATTTGGATCAAGAAGACGGCAGACGCTGCCAAGCGTCGGTAGCTGCTGATGTGCAACGAGTAGCGGGTGGTGCGGTGGTTCGGCTACGCAATTGGTACGCCACAGTACCATCCATTCAGCTAGCCGGCCACGGCAAATGCAAATTTCGCGAATTGTATAAAAGTCGTCGAGTTTTTGGTAATGGCATGTCAGTTCATTTTCGTTAACCGACGGTGACAATCAATCCTAACCCCCAAGCCGCACAATGAATCCTTTGACGGTAAGCCAGCACCTGAGCCAATTGGCTGCATACGGGATACCAATTGGACTCGAATTGGCATCGAATTGGATACTCACGTGTTTGCATTCGCTTTGCAGGTTGTTGCAGTCCTTTCCACTCTGGCGCTCTCCGCTCAGGCGGACTTTGCTGCCCCA